CCCCCCCCACCCCCAGATCCAAATTGGGGATTGAACACTTGCTGTGAGGCCTAAAATAAAAAATTAGCAAAAGCTTGTGTTTAATTTCTTCAGCTTTGTGTTTTTACAAATGGTCTCGGTAAGAAGAGCTATATTGTGTGTTAAAAATCAGCAGCAGGTGTACACTGGGCCTAATCCCTTATGGGCATTTCAGGCCGCAGTGAGATTAACCTGAGGTGGTCCGGTTCAGCTCCTTTCAAAAAGAACAAGCCCCTAGTCTGTCTTAACTTATTACTGCAAGGTGAAGGCTAATGTAAAGGTCAACCATCTGCCTAGAGTCTGGACTCAACCTGCAGTAACGCTCACAAACCTAAACAGCAATATCTGCGTTTGAAATACTAATCATTTAAATATTTGCTGACAAATTCACAGTTTGAGRCTGAGCGACGTTGGAATATTAGTGCTCATACCTCCTAAAAGCATGTTTGGTTGGAGGTGTCCGTAACGACAGCCTGTGATTGGAGTGGGTTTTTCAAAAGAGGGTGGTCTCAGTCAGTCCGAGGCTCATCGTATTGATTGTGTGTAAAGCTCCAAACACAGACACGGACAGCAGATTAACAGGTTAACCTGATATGTTAGCTGAATGGTTTATGGAACATTAGAGTAAAGGATTAAAGCTTTTAGCTGCATTGTTCTACAATCTGTGTGACCTGGTTTTGTGTTTAAAACACAACTATTGCGACATTTGAACCTTTCCTCATTTCCAAAATTTTTWAAACTGAAACCAAATTCAAGTTTTGACTAAAGCATTTGGAAAAGTTGAGATAACAGCAGCAAAAAAACAGACTCTTGTTCATTGGAATCAAACTTTCAGTGCATTAATGTCAAAACTTCTGGGCTAGCTCGTTAAAACCAGGTTATTGATAACAAACTCATAAATGAAATGGAAGCCTGCTGCTTTAAAAGGCCGTGAACAAAGGAAAATTAAAGCTCCCTGCTGGCTTTGGGACAGTGTCAATTTAATTTTGCAGAGAGGAGGAGAAACAGAAGGTAGATGATGTTTTTTGTGGAGCATGGGGCTTTTAATTCACACCAAATTGGCCGAGGTTTCAAGTCAAGACACTTCGGAGGACTGACTTAATTTCCAATCAAGCTTTTTTAAAAGCGAAAGGAAACTTGAGCGCACTGGTGTTGAAAGATCGGATACTTGTTTGGATTTAGTTTCATTGGAAGTGTGCTTTAGCTATTTTCTTTACATGTAATCGTTTGGCATTTCTAAGGAGAACAAGTCACCTCTTAGCAAAATTGAAAAAAAAAAACTTTGCAAAAAAGGGAGCTTAAGCCACATTTCATCTTTTGTGTGCCGGATTGATGACCCCGGCGAGATGGATGATGTTCTGTAGTGCTGTGTGGCATTGTCTTATCCTGGCCCGCACAAAGAGTCGGGACACTTATCATTTCAGGCTTATGTATAGAGAAGGGGGTGGGCTGTCAGAGTGCTGAAGAGGGTCCTGGAAGGTGGGGGGTGYCGCTGCTCCTTCTGATAAAGCTTGATGGAGATGGGTTACTGACAGTGGAGGCAGATGGAGAGAGTCATCTCCCATGACAACACTGACTGAAACTTCATCTAGAACACCAAAAAAAAGGGGGGGGGGGGGGCAGGGAACAAGACGACAGAGCAAAAAAACAAAAAACTTATACTTATGTTTTAGATGCACCTTAGGAGTARTTTATATTACTGTAAATTAAATGATGCTTTAAGGCGTCTTAAAATTGGCACATTATTATTAAGGATTTGTTGTCCTTTTTTAGCAGCATGGAGACTTACAAACAGGTGGTCTATAGGTTTGTTGAGCTTGGTTTAGGATTAGGCTTTGAGACATTGTTTGGTGGGAACAGGGCTGTGAATACAAAGGGATTAGAGCAAAGGGTTGCTTCACTCTGAGTTTGTTGTGATGTGGGGGAGCTGCAATCTGAAGTTGATGGATGAACTGGATAATCCAAATAAAACATCTGCTGTAYTTGACATAAAAGACATCAAGTTAATATGAAACTGTAAAACAATGTAAGGGCAACTAGGAGCCTTTTTTATCTTTTCTACATGGTAAATTATTATTGGTTATTTAATTCATTTAGAATGTCCTTTTGTTGTAATATTTTGTATGAATTATTTTGTTAGCATTTTTTTTGTTGCATTAGTTTAATTGTGAATATTGGGTAAAACTGGGAAATCCCTGAATATGTACCCTGGTTTGAACCAGAGTGGGTTTATGATTTAATTTATTTTATTTTACTTTTTACCAGACCAGGAGAGCTTGTTTGGAACAGGGAAGTTTTTGGAATAAATCATCAAAGGAAAATACCTACATGGTCTTGGACAATAGATTTCATTTGTCTGCACTGAAAAAAAAACTACCCCACTGCAATAATTGATTTTTAAATATTTGAACTTTAAAGAAAATGACAGCTATAGCAATGATAAATAAATATCATAAATGCAGAATAGCTACAGCTGTTTGGTCATCAGTTTTTTTTCTTCATATTTTGGTCATACCTGTATAAAGAAATGGAGATAAGGCCTTTTCTGAGGCACTCTGAATGCTCAGTGCTGAATGACTTCTGCAAAAGAAGTTAAAACAGTTTCCTGGTGCATCTCAGTATTTCAAGAAGAATTTTCAAAAAAGTTGAGTAGGTCTGAGTTACAAAAGCTGRGGACACAAAGTCAAATGTAGTAAAATACTAGCTGAATGTAGCAAAACATTAATTACAATTAATAAACAACGAGCTAAAATCTGAATGTATCAAAAATGTTAAAATTATCATAATGCTAGCTAAAACCTGAAAAAGTTTAGCTAAAAGCTGAAAGTAACAAAAATAGCTAAAAATAGGAAAATGATAAWCACTAAATCAGCATAAACTACCTAAAAGCTAAATAAGCAAAAATACTTTAGCAAAGAGCTAAAGGCTAAAGCTGGCCAAAAGGAGCAAAGGTTTAGCTAGATGCTAAAAGTAGCAAAACATGGACAAAAGTAGCAAAAGTTTAGCTAAAAGTCAAATGAGACATATTTAGGTAAAAGCAAAACGTATAAAAATGCATAAAAGTAGCAGAAGGTTTGCAAAAAGCTGGAAGTGACAAAASAGTAGCTAAAAGTAGCTAAATAATATGTACTAAAGTAGCATAAGCGAAGCAAAAGGCTATATAGATAAAAGCTAATGAGCTAAAATCCAAAGGTATCAACAGGCTGGCTAAAAGGAAAAAAAACATAGCTAAATGCTAAAAGTAGCAAAACACTAACAAAAGTAGCAACATGCAAACTAAAAGCCAAATGAAACATAAGTTCGCTAAAAGAAAAAAAAAAGCAAAATGTTAGCTAAAAGCTAAAAGTATTAAAAGGCTGGCTAAGTAGACAGCTGCTGATCAAAAGACTAACCACAAATTAATCAAAAGACTAGCTTAAACTAAGACTYGCAGAATAGCTAAAAGCTAAATGGAGCTATTGAGAATAAAATCGTGCAAATTTTTTTTTCCAGAAAAATATTTTCAAGAAATGGAAGAGCCCTCAATTAATTTTTATGTGTAAAATTAAATAAAGTTGAACATTTGTATAAAATTCATAAAACTCTGCAACCTTCTTCTGCATTAGCTGAACATTTTTAAAAAATGAATAACTCTAACAGCACAAAGAAGGAAAAGCAGCTGGTTTGCAAAAATCACTAGAAAAACTGAATGGTCAAACAATGCTGCAGTAAATTGAGAATTTTGCTTTTAGATTTATTAATCGTTTTGTTTCTTCACTGCCACACAGAAAATGAAACATAAAACCTTTACAAAAATCATCTGTGTCCTGAACCATGTGCCACCATTAGGGACACACAAAGGCAGACCTGACAAATGGCTGTTTTAATGCCCCTCTTTGACTTTAATGAATTTATACGTTATCTGGCCCTAATGGAAGCTGCAGCAGAGGGGCCGGCGTGAGGCCCTAACAAATGAAAAGCTCTGATTAGCGCAGAATAAGCMGAGAAAAAAAATGCCATTCATCTTGGTTAGCATCCTCCTGTGCTCCTTTAAGGGTCGCTGTTACAAGGACGGAGGGTGGGTGTGGTGGTGGAGGGGGTCCTCGTCCCCATTAGCCCCAAAGGGCCRGCTGAGTGGTCAGCAGCCCGGCGTTGACAGAGCGTCTGCCCCGCTCTGCAGTTCAACACTGTGAATGCCTCAGCCAGGC